CGACAGATATTGTGGGGCAAAAAGGGAGACTGTGGAAGGACCTAGATGAAGAGGATTGTCAACACTTTCAGCATAATGTGGTGGGGATGGGATGAAAGAAACAGCGGGGAGAGCGAATAGGTCTCACTAAATCCGCTTAAAAGGGCAGATTTCAACAAGGCTTTATAACAAGTAAGTGTGAAATGATGAGGGTGAAGATGTGATGAGGGTATAGGAAAGGTGAATGCACTAGGACAGGAGAGATAACACAACTGTTTAACAGAAAACTCATCAAAGGATTGAACTCAATTGTCGCTTTTTCAAGTTAGAGCGTGGTGCTAAGTGTGACAAGGCTTCATGAGAATGCTGACGAAATGTCTGAAAAGGTACCAAATCTACGGTCTAACTATGGAAATAATCATACATACAATGGATTCCAAACAAGGTACGTTACTCCGAGTCTCTCCCTGACAATATGACCAAGTCGCGGAAGCAAGTTCAAACAACGTCTTCACTACTCTAGTTGCTATGACAAGAGTCAAAGGAAAGTCGATATGATGTATAAAAACTGCACATAAATACTTGGAGGAAGGCAGAGTTTGCATTATTCAAGGTGTGCCTCGGTGCTTATTCTGGCTCATCTTGGCGGTGCCAATTATTTATGAAAATTACTCAGAATAACTTAAGTCTAAAGGATGACAACGACCAAGTAATGAAGAAGGATTTGTTAAAAATGTAAGCAAACGAAGCAATGTCACAGTTTACCACTGCCTACTTTCGATAAAACACAAGGTCTGGAGTGCAACGAAAATAGTTCATATTCGCAGAAAAGAAAGATCCATTAGGCCTACCCAAATGTCTGCCTTGGTGCCGACGTATGGCTCTCCTTTGAAGATCTCAGGCGCAGCGTACGGAGGGCTGCCGCACCAGGTCGAGAGCAAACTGGAGGAACCAGCAGCATCGGGAGAGACGAAGGTTCCGAAACTGAAATCTGTGCATGGGTCAGGTTGAGCCATGAGGAAGTGTGTAAAAAAAGATGGATAAAACAGAAAAGTTGGCCGTTATTCGAGAATCTTTCCGTCTATATTCTTTACTTTATTAGCAGTTGCTTCTCATTTTGAAAAATTTAATAAAATATTGAGGTCCGCTCATCGGATAGTGGGAAAACTCAAAAATCAGTGCTTAATGAAAATGTTTTGATCCAGTTTTAGCAATTCGGTTGGTATCTGACGGTGGACTTGGTACAGTTCCAGACTGAAACCTAAACAGAGGCCACAACATCTTGGCCTTCATATCCACGATTGGAATCACCCCTGAAGTTATCTTGGGCGACCTAGAGTATTTAATTTTTCACGAAAGCAACTAAAACGAACTATCTATGGATGTTGAAAAGGCTTGAAAGAGAGACAGAGAGAGTAGGAAGAACTGCCATACAAGAGGAAGAGGGCTAAATAATCTCGAATCTGGTTATGTGGCCTAAAAGGCATGGTGCTTACGATCAGTGCATAGAGACAACACATGTACAACCACACAACTGAAAAAACGCCAACTTTTCATGATCGAATTCCCGTTGCTATTGGTGTACCTTTCCTTTTTTTTTGATTGAGCAAATGGAAGGGGATTGGTAAATTGGCCTCACAAGAAACGGAATAAGGATGCCTTGCCGTTATGACTGAAGATTTCTTCTAATGCATCATCAGAGCATCATCCCACGACCTCGATAAATCTGTGCTGAACCTGCCTCGGTGATGTGACAGACATCGTCGAATTGGGAAACAAGGCAGTATGGCAAGAAGCGTCTTAACAGACGTAAGATCAGCACGGAATCATGAGGTTCGTACTACATGGGCTGAGGACGTATAAACGAAAATCTACAATCACAATTCAGATTGGTTCATCTTCAGCTTCAGATGAGGACAAATCAAGAATCGCTTACATTCGCCTCATCAAACGAAATACAAGACACACACAAGCATCAATCTGTAAAAGAAATCTTGGAAGGAAGTCCAATTTCGTTTCATATCAATTTAGAACTTATTTTTTTGGCCTCCACTGCATCACTCGAGTGGATTTGTAGTCGATTTGGCCTTGCTATAAGTGGGGATGAAGAAAGTGAGATGCGGAGATACAGCTCCAAGAGATAAGTGATTGCAAAATATGATCATAAAAATCACAATTTAGTAGAAATTTGGTTGAGGGAAAGAGTTTTTGGTTGTAAAAACTTTCATTTTTGATAGTGTAAAAGAGATGTGCAGGCTGATTTCACCAAAAGACGACGTTTGATTCTCGCCACGCTGCAGCCATTTGGCTACGATATGTCGTTCAGATTGACACAATCAACAAAACATCCTTCCTCATTTCA